ATTACGAATGAAAAGTGAATGACTGCCTTGGAAAGTTCTCGGGGTCGCTCTCGCTGGAAATTCCCTTTTTCTCTGATCACTTGGAGAAAAGGAAAAGAAAACGAGTGATTGAGGGTAGTGAAATGAAATCGAAAAATGAAGAGAAAGAAGAGAAAGATGAAGAGAGTGATTCGAGAAATTCGAGAAACACTTTGCCCTCCCCCGAGGTCGCGCTGACAAAAATTTATTGAACACAAAACGAGGCACACAGTGAAATTTATTGAACACATTCACGATGATACGACCCACCGATGGGCCATACCAATGACGATTCTTTTTGGTTTAAGCTTAGCTTTTGGTTTAGGTTTAGCTCAACTCAAGTTTTTAAGGACTTTTATTATTCATCTCGCAAAAAGTTCTCGGTACCTTTGTACTAGTTTCCAAGAGGAGATTCAGGGCTATCGAATGACTATAATAGTTTAGTTTATTTTTGAATTTTCACCAAATGACCAGTAAAACAGTTAGCGCCAACGCGACTGTACGCTCAAAATGCCGTCGTCGCGAATGTGTTAAAGACCACTTATTAAAGGACAATCTTGCACTTTTCTAAAACGAGTCTCTTTTCGCGACCATCGACTTATCTCTAGTTTTTATCCAGAGACCTCGTCAAAGAAGCGCCTTTCAAAACAGCGCCGTTCAAACCAGCGCCGTTCAAACCAGCACCGTTCGAAACAGCGCCCATACAAAAATAGCTCCAAATTGAAAAAGACTGCGATTAGATTTTTAACCCCAATTTTTTTATACCTTTCATAACAACTTGTAACTTTCATTATTTTTAAAACATTTTTAAGCACCTTGCGCGTTTTTTGACAAACTGACGGATTATTTCATTATCAGAATCATGTTTTATGGCCCATTTTAGATAAACAATGCGGCACATTTTATTTTCCATTGTTTTCTCTTGTTTTTACTGTTCTTGGTACTTAACTTTGTGTTTTTCAGATAAAAGATCATCGCCTGAAGGAATAGAAGACTCGTTGCAAGTGATTCGAAGTGGCTAGCGACAATCACAGGTACTTTTCACACAATATCATTTGCGAAGAATTTCTACTTGTTTAAGGAAATAACTTTGTTTCTTTGATTTAAAATAAATTTAATAAGATAAATTAAGCTAGTTATTACTCTTTTCTGTAAAAATTTTGTTTCTCAACATCCTTTTTCATTTAGGGATGTCGATATCTGATAAAGATGAAGCGACTGGAGTCCTTTCTGTCACCAACGAGCACGCTACACCTACCTGCCATTGATAGAAACACAAGAGGTATTTATTGTTTTGTTTAACTTATTGGTTATTGGTTATATTTTTCGATGCGTGAGATACACTGTGGTGCCAAAAACGATCGAATCGCTGGAGTTCCGACAAAGAAAATTATTAAACGACGTGTCCTCGAAGCTCGCCAACACCTATTGCCTTTTCTCAATGCCAACAGAATTCAACAAATCGCTCGCTGAGAAGTCAAAATCGATGGTGAAATAGATTGGTCTCCTCGATCACTGAAGCTTTTTGTGAATTGCTGTTATGTCAGTCTCATAAACATTTACATTTAGGAGTTTTATATTTACGATATGATAACCGCTCAAACTACCCAGCTCCACACGCAAACGCAATGAAATCCTTTGCTACTGATTGGGGAATCGATGTTACTTCAGGTATATTAAACTCTTTAAACTTTAATAACAAAAGTTAAATACTTTTAGCACTCAATCGTTCGTTCGTTTGATTTTCGTACACTTTGAGATAAAGCCTTCAAACAAATACCCACCGTTATTCACGAGTTACAAAGTTTGTTGCTTATCTTTGTTATAAATTTAATTCGTTTAAACTCCGTTGTTTCATTTTTTCATTTCGTTAATTGAGTAAACAAGTTTTCACCTACTATTTGACTTAAGAATGCACAAAAACTAAAGCTTTTATCGAAAACTCCAAGAGAGCGTTGGTTAAGCTACATTAAAATCTGAAAATAAAACTTTGAACGGCGCTATTTTTGTATGGGTACTGTTTTGAACGGCACTGTTTTGAACAGCATCGTTTTAGCGGCGCTATTTTGAGTAGGTCCCTTTATCCAATCCACCTGGCTCAAAACTGCTACTGGCCGTAAATCTAAAATCACAAAATGTACTTTGTTCAGCCTTTTTCAATCTCCTTGAGATCCAAAATCCAAAATCTCCTTGAGATAAGCTTTTTATTGTCTTTCCGTTTCATCACTAACTATGCGTACACTGGGTTCATTATTTACAATAGGGTTTGCATAGAAAAACGTTTTCCTCAAATTTTCTGATAAGGTTAAACGGTTTGAAAGCATAAAGCAAAGCGCATAAAAGATTAAATTTTAAAGATTTTAAAAAAATCAACTTTTTCAATAAATTCAAAGGGTCATTACTTGCAAATCAGCTAGCAAACTTGCAACTTTCAAGTTTTTCTGTCAAATTCAAGATCTTTGAACAAAAATGAACCCATTTCACTCAGCTTTTTTGGAACTTTTTGAAAAGTTAAGCCCCACAAACCTCATAAAGCTTAAGTCTTGTTCAAAAGGTGAAAGGCTTTAGCGGGTTTTTTTTTGCGTTTCATTCAGAACTCTAGTTTTGCTAGGGTTTTTTAAATACTTGAATAAAGTTACGAGAAAAGTTCAGAAGTGTCTACCAGCTGCCTATTTGCCAAAACTTATTTCAATTAGACGTGTCCTTTTGTTTACTGTGTGCTCAACAAGTGCGAGCACACCCTTACTGGCGCACTCAATTCTACGTTTTTACGGAAAAGTTACAAATTCTGCATTTTTCCTGGCCGATCAAGCGGTTGCTGGAAGAAAACTGAAAAACCCAGTGCACCAGAAAGAGTTTGTTTACAGAAATCTAAATCTTTTCCAGACAGTGAACCTTTTGAATCCCCAGTCCCCTAAACAGCTGTTTTCTTAAATAAACCCCAAAGTGGGGAATCAGAAGGTGTGAAAATTAATGGCTCGATCTCTCTTGGACTGAGGATTGGGAAAAGGTGAAAAACGGGCAAGATTTACGACCATAGATATGAGAATTTCCGACAAAATGGCTCTATAATTAATCTACAATTGTTTCTTCGATACTCTCAATGGACAAGTTTCGATTGGGAGATGTGAGTGGAAAAAAATCTTTACAAAGTTTGTTGATAAAGAGTTTTGTGGATCATGGATTGTGTTCCCAGCGATCAATTATTCAAATTGCATCATAAATTCTTGTCAAAGCCAGAGCCACTGAATGAAACTTTAATCTAAAATATCTCAAAAATTCAAAACTCCAAAAAATTCCAATTCAAAACAAGATCAAAATTTCATCAATCCAAAATTTACTGATTTCTTCTCAGAGAAATCTCAGAAATCTATTTATTTTTGGGGCAAAGGGCTTAAAAAAACAAAGAAAAAAAGCTCAATGATGCGTGAATTCTCCGCGAAAAAAAATCGATTTCTTCAGAGAAATTCTTTTTCGCGAATGAATGCGCGTTTTTTTTGCGATATTTGTAAACAAAAGCTATTCAGTCAATGAAAAAAAAATCATTTTATGAAAATAAATAAAGAATTTAGACATCAAAAAAGTGTTGCAAAACTGGCGTGAATCGTGTCTTTGAAATGATCAAAAGATCTTTGAAACGAAATGATCAAAAGTGATGTACTCAAAAGAAATTCAAGAGTTCATGGATCGAAACTTTGGGACACAACTTTGAACTTCATTTTGGCCAACTATTTGAATTTAAGTTTAAAACCTGATTTTCATTTGTTTTGACAATTTGCATACAAATTTTGGACGATGAGTCCAATTTAAACAGGAAAACCCAGAAAATAGAAAAATTTGAGGGGGCAAACGGTGAAAGTACTCGAATGGCGACGTTTAAAGGTGTTGAATTGAAATTAATTTAATTTAATTAAAAGTAGAAATATTATATTATTATATATAAAAATATTATTGCAGGTATTTATAAAGCTAAAGGTGTACCAAAACTTAGTTTTAGTTGTTTTCTAAACTAGAATTTCCATCTTAACCTACGATTTCAATTTTGCACTAACTGGATCGTGCGTAGCATCGATGTCAGCAAAATGTAAGTCAACAAAATAGTAAGAATACAAAGTAGCAAACTATGCAAGTATAAAGAAAACCGGAACTTCCCAAAGCGATTTTTGGGCGTTAGAGTCAAGAAAATTGTAAGTGTGTATAGGAGAGAGGGGAAAAAATGGCAGGGGACGAGGAGGGGAATTCAAATTGGCAAAGGAGAACAGCACACCCTCACCCATTCATCCCCTCTTTCCCCTTTGCCTCATCACCTCTCTGGCGCCCCCAAAAAAGGAAAAGAACCGGTCAGTTGAGGCATGCATTGTTAAGAGTAAAATGCAGACTTGTAATATGTCACTGTTCGTTAGATAACCAGACCTAAAGTTCTGTTCAATGGCTCTGGCTTTGACAAGAATTTATGATGCAATTTAGAGATGTAAGAAGAGATGAATGATTCTAGAAAACAAATAAAACCAGTAGATTGTGGCTTTAAAGTAGAAAAAAAGAGCAAAAACTCCAGCCAATTTCCTAGTTTGGGTCGCTCAACACACTTCACTACATACTACCACTAAAATGTCAAAATACAAACATTCTTATTTACTTGTGCTTTGTGATCGTGCATGTCCTTACAATTTGAGCAGGAAATCAGAGCAGGTAAACCAAAAATATCCCACAATTTAGTTGTGATTTTTATCAAACCAACTAAACAATTTATCCCTAACAAACAAAACAAGACTAACAGCGGCCAATATAGATGGCAAAACAACTTGAAAAAGTGAAAAAGTGACAAAGTGACATAACAAAGTTCAAAATGATAACATAATAAAAAGCTGAAATTGAAACGTGTTAATTTTCGTGAGAATGCTTAAAAAGATAAAATGGTTATTAGTTAAACTAACTAACAATTTTCCAAAATTTAGCAAAAGGGTAAGGCAGAAAGTCACTCAAGATTCACCTAGCAAACGATGTCTGTTGAACGGGCAGTGCGAATACGTGTGTGCTCCTTTTCCCGTCGCGCCGCAGGTGTAACATTTGATGGCAAACATTCGAGGACACCTAAAATATATATCATTGCTTGCACAGTTTAATTTGATAAGATTAAATGCAAAAACTTACAAAACATCGCCCTTTTTGTCCCGTAGTCGATGTCCGAACCAGGGCCCGTGAGCAAATCTCTCCGGGGGCTCTTTTCCGTGAGCAATCGCCTCTCGCATAGCCTAAATACTCATTAGTCAATTAGTCAGAAGTAGGTTTCACATTTTAACACTGGAACTCACTTTTCCGTAACAAAAATCGCAGCTATCGTGTGGATTGAAGGCACCATCAACCGATTTGAAGGCATAGCTTCCATGGTCAATTGACTCCGGCAGAAGCTTCATAGGTTTTTCTTCCGAAGGCGAAAACGCAGCAAGCAGAGACGTTATTCTCGGTGCCTAAGATTTATCGTGACTGATAAGACAAGTGTATACAAACCCGCAATTGTGAAAATTCCAGCAATTTTTCCAAGTGCAAAGTGTTGAGACGAGTGTCGTTTGAAGGATAATCAAAATCCAATGAGAACTAAGCAAGAACTTTAATGTTTAAAAAGTGTAAAAAAACCGGTCGTTGGCACACAACTTTATTGAAAGAAGTTTCTATCGCGCTCATGATATGCGTCGGTAAGTGAAGGGCTTCGAGATTATTCTTGAGGTGCGGAATCGCGGCCTTCTAAAGTTTTAATGATATAAGTCAATGATAAAGAAATTACCTCCAAAATCGGATACTCTACACCCGTCCCTGTGTTTACTTTGAGCAGCTTGAATGATGGTTGACTTCTCCGGTACTCGAGCCAAAACTTGTCTGGTTCTCCAGAACGATGAACAAATGCCATTGGTCCATAGAGATAATCAGTCTAAAAATATGAATACAATTGAAACAATTAATGCAACAAACCCAATGATCGGAGAACAACGGATTTCCAACTACATGCAGCTCGTCAGCATTTTCTATCGTTGGTTCTCCAGCGAGTTTTGTCTGATCCGGCTGCACGATCGGATCACTTCCTTCCGAGAAAACATCATCTTCAAAGATAGACGAATCGTTAGACTGAATTTACAAAATCATAAATGCCTCCATTTGAGCTAGATACCATGTAATCCATTGGAACTGCTGGAATAGTCGACATCCAACAACCATCGTCCGGCTCTACGTCTTTAGGCAATTCATCGGATCGCGTAGGGCTCAAAGACTGCGATAAGTTGGCCAGGTCCACTTCTGGCTTCAGCGTACCATAAGCTAAAAGTAAAGATTATCAAAGCTGTTAATAAGACGATATTGCTTGCTAATAATTTTTCGGGTGCTATAGTAGTTCGGAGGAGGGCTAGTGTACATTCATCTCTATTGAGACAGAGCGCACTAATTTTTGCTTCTAGGGTTTTTAATGGCGTAGTTTTTGGATTTGGTATCTATTTAAGCTTTAGTAACTGTTTTCTAGCAATTTCAAGCAGTTACTGAGGTTCTAAGCCTCTTAACTCGGTCCCACACCTCTAAACCCAGTGGAAATAGAGTTACTCTTGAAGGCTCGGAATTCTTGCTCAAACTGGCGTAAAAGTTGTTCAGAATGGTTTATAAATGCTGGTGTTTACAAACTGCATTTAACTTCTTTGTTAATTTTCACGCGATTTTTACTATTTATTTTAACAGCAACTATTGCGGCAATTCTTTCAATAAATTAAACGCTTTTAACTCTAATCTATTTGCTGCGACACCCGCCATAGCTAAATAAAGAAAGTTAGTAAAGTAATTAAAGAAAATAAAAAAGCGCGTGTTTTCTACAAATCGTTAAAATTGCTGATGTTAAAATAAATAGTAAAAATCGGATGAAAATCAACAGAGAAGTCAAGTGCAAATTGATGTAATTATGCAAATTTTGAGTGCTCCCCCCCCCTCTAAATTCCCATAGCACCCAAGTAAAAAACAACTTACAACTCGAGTGACCATCCGAAACCTCTGTAGAATTGCGAGACGCACACAAGCCGACGAAAAAATCCCGGTCCCAATCCAACATTCGTAGGATCTAAAAAACAAACATTAAAAAGTTTATAAGTTACAACTAACAATTATTAATAAAATTTGGGCGAAAAACACAAGACGCAAAGTTGACAAATGGTTAAAGTTGCGGGAGCGCAATTTATTTTATTGACCGTCACAAAAAGATATTCAGTTCAATAACCGAGTATCTTTATTGTTTTTGACTATATATAACCCTCGGGTTGCCCCTTTAGAAGGAGTCCTTTTGGGAGTGGGACAAATGCGACTTTTTTTTGCGCACCTTTTTTCGCGTTTTAAAAAAGCTCTAAAAAGCTAATATTAACCAATTTCTATTCCAAATGTTGTTTTTCTAGGTAATTTTAGGGCGTAGAACCGAAATTTTGATATATCAGAGCTTGTGGAACCAATTTGAAAGACAAAACGGCTAGATCAAATTACAGAAAATTGTCGATTTTTCTCTTTGTATACCTCCGTCCGTTTGTTTCCACAAGCTCTGATATGTCAAAATTTCGATTCTACACCCTAAAATTACCTAGAAAAACAACTTTTGGAATAGAAATTGGTTAATATTAGCTTTTCAGAGCTTTTTTAAAACGCGAAAAAAGATGCGCTAATGGGCAAGGTGCGGAAAAAAGGTGCGCAAATGTCCGGGTGCGCAAAAAAAAGGTCGCATTTGTCCCACTCCCGTCCTTTTCATTTTTTTGGGAATCCAATCGTGAAAGTCAGATCTTTCTTGGTCCCGTTCGTTTTGTGCAATGATTTCTCTAGATTTTCGACTGTTTCATCAAATTTATCACACAAATTGCACAAAGTTGAAGGTTTATATCACCCATCGCAATGTTGTTCTTGTTTTATTCTTAAACTTCTTGAGTGTTATTAAATATTTTCATTTTAGAAGTGGCCGACGTTCGTAGAGCCAGCATTTAACCCTCTTTCGCGGCTGCATCTTTCTTCGCTAAAGGTATGTTAGGTTTTTGGCATTCTTTCTCTACTTTTGAGTTTTCAGGATAACATGATGAACCATCCTTCGATGGGCTATTTTATGAATGCTTCTGATGAGGCTAAGGTACCTTTTTTCTGTTATTTTGTAAACTTTAGCAAAAGTAAATTGTTTTGTCTAAAATATCGCTTGAATTCACAAACTCAAAACTTAATTTAGTTCGATTTCCCCAAATGGTCACATCAGGGAGCTAAAAAGAAAAACCCCCGCAGAAGCAATTTCAATCAAATGACGCAGGGAAAAATCTTGCTACAGCTTAAGGAAAATGTTCACGGGGTAATTTGCTTAATATGCATGTGTATGCTTAGTATGCTAAATGAGGATTTTAGGAAAGACCAGCTGGTACTGTTAATGCAAAGCACAATTTTGCTGGTAAAACTATGTTGAAGCTAAAACCAAAAGTGGGTTGTCGCTTGTTCCTATTCAGTGAGAAAAGTTTTAATTTTAGAATCTGATGCCAGAAAAGCTTGACACGGAATCAAAAAGCGGCGCTCCAGAAATTGGCCCTCAAGAATGTAGTGAAGAGCAAATGACGACTGAAAAAATATTGCTTCAAATGAAAGAACCTCAGCAGCAAAAGGTTTGTTTCACAATATGACACTTTGACTTTCAAGTTCAGATTATGAACTATTTTATGCCTACGAAGCAAGGTAAGCCTTCATTTGGCCATACCGAGCCCTGTCATATCAATTGCGGAAAAGTGCTCCTGGATCGCCGTGAATCTCGTGGAACGAAGTATTTTGTGGAGCAGGTTTGTTCAAGTCAATAGTTAATTTAATTAAGTCGTTAGAAAGTTGATGTCAAGCAGCAATGGACTCCGAATGGCGCTATGTTTGGAAATGGTGACGGATTTGCTTTGTCTGAACACACAACGAATAAGGTATGGTATTAACAAGATATGTAAGCAACTCTGATAGATGTGGTTGTTAATTTTTATGAGGTCATTGATGGGTTTTTTTAGCTTGGATTGCAAGACAAGCCTCTTTATGAGCGCCGCCATAATACAATCGAGCCATTGTCAGCTTATGCAACGATCACTAAAAGAGTAAGGACTGATTAGTCTGATATTATGCAATAATTATATTCAATACAGAATTTTGTGCCTCGTCCTTCTCCAAATCCATTCTTTCTTACGCCAACGCGTACTCGACAAGCTTTTGCCGGAAATCATATTGAAGTTGTTATTTTTGCAATAATATAAGTTTTTTTTATTTAGGATTGGTCTGATCAACATATCTTTGAACGTCGTGGTTGCAAAATCACCACATTGACCTTGCTTCAGACGCCCAATCGTCCCTGCATGCCATATGCTGGTCGAGACTCGCCTCATAGTCCGATCGTCAAGGCTCGTTTTAGCCCACAGTTTGTCAGGGCTCAACAAAGCAGCTCTCCATCTTGGCTTCTGGCCCAAAACGTTGCTGAGGTGAGTGTTATCTTCTTTTTTCTTTCATAAAATGATTTTAGTTTGCTCTTGAGTCGCCTCAATCTTTGAGGGGTTTTGGATCTCCTGCTAATCGACGGGCAAATAACTTTTTCCACTAGAATAACGGAAAGTTAGTATATTGTCGCATGCAATTGTTGGTCCATGCATAATTCACTTTTTCTTGCCCATCATATTTCTATTCTTGTTTTATTCGCTATTCGATTTTATCGTTAAATTAAATCCACAGCTATTTTAAGGTCCCTCTCCTTCACTTTTTTTACTATTATTCCTTTTTAAAATTGTTATGATCCTACGGTTTTACCTATGGGGTCCGAAAATCTTTTTCGAATGTCCCCCATATCGTTGCAGTTTTTACGGATTTCTATTTATTGTTGCAACGCAGTTGTACCAGTTAACTTTTAAATAAACGTTATCGATACTAAATGGGTTTTTTTTATTGCGGTGACCATTGTCCATAGCTTGTCAGTAAAACTTAATTGATTTTGAGTTCAAATTCAGTTGATTGTTTTATACTTTTAGGTCATGGGAGAATCGATGCTGAGTGCCGAACAATACGCCGATTTGTACAAACAAAAGAAGTATGAGTACACTGTACTTATCAAAGAGGGACAACTCGTTTTTGAGAGGTCCGATGCAGATGCAGACGCTGATGGACTTTCTATGCTGCGCACGGTCGTGTACGAAGCGGGCTTGTTGTTGAAAGGAAAGATGTGCCAATTTGAGGATCTGCTGAATCGTTACTTTCGACCCATCGAAAAGGATCCTCAACCAGTCATCATCAATGACCTTGCCGGTTGGTGGGATTTGCTCGAACTTCTGTTCAAGAAAATTGACGAAAGAATTCTGGGGGCGAAAGAAGTGATAAAGAAGAGCCGAATGGATTCGAACAATAATCAAGAAGCGCTGAATGAAACAAGAAATTCTCAACATCGAAGGTCAATCACGGAACTCAACACCGAAAGTCGGGCTTTTAATGAACGTATCAAGCAAAAAATTGAATGTGCGTATAAATTTCTTGAATCTCTTAATGGTTGTTAAATTTTTGAACTTTTAGGCCGTTTATAGTACTTGTTTTTTTATTTAATTTTCGTGCTTGTACCTATATATATGGATTGTGTTTATACATTTATCGTTTGATTTTGCTGCGGTATTTATAAATAGTTATGACGTAAACTGCGAAAATTCAGACACGTTATGAGGCTGGTAATGCAATGATGGCGAGAGTTTGTTGTAGTTTTAAGTCACTGCCTTGTTTCCTATCGACGTCGTTTTTCGCATCAAACGTGAGTAGCACACTTTGTTGTTTTAGGTACCTTTTAAGCGCTACGATTTACACAAACATTGCGATAATAAAGAACAAAGACAAATCGTGACAAATGATTGAACATTTGCGAAAAAGAACCAACGAAAATCGAAATAAATGTTGATGGTAAACACCGTAAATGCTGTATTAGAACGACATGTCGTTCTATTTTTCAACCCCTCAAAATCGGCTGACCCAAAAAGAAGGTACCAGATAAATCAAAAATTTAGAATTGGTTAAAAACTATTTTAAACGATGGCCCTTTGTCGAAAACGTACAAAAAAACGTTTAAAAGTGAAATGATTTTCTTCCCCGCGACCTCCTTTGGATCTCCAAAAAAATCCATGTGGGGATCCTTAAGATTTTTTTTCAAAATAGTGTTTTAAATTTTACTACCGATGAAATATTAGTAGGTTTTAGACCTAGATCTATCCATAGAACCTTCACAAGGAGGATCTAATCTAAGATTTCGAGGGGTTTGAGGGTGTCGTTCCGATACAGCATTTACGGTATGAATGCGGTTCAGAATACAAAAAAGAAACTTTAATAGGACGATTAGAAGAAGAACGATTTTTAGAAGTTCTGTAAGCGTCGTACTAGTTGAATGTCCTGTGGCGTGAGAGTCTTCCGCTTGCGATGGCCCATGCACAAGTTTCCATCTTCAAAGAATCTCAACAAGAAAGCTTCTGATGCCTATAAAAATGAATTGTTAAGTTATTTACTCTGACATACCTCTTGAAGAGCCTCGAGTGCCGAAGACTGCCAATATTTTTCGGATCCAGCCATTTTATATGCCACTTCGCGGACTAATCGTTGAAATGGGCGTTTCTAAAAAAAATACGATTTAGTTCTTGAAGAGTTGAACGAGGTACTAACATAGTATCTGATTCAAAAATTTACCTGTATGAGTAGGTTGGTTGTAGTTTGAAGACGGCGTATTTCTTGTAGAGCACGAGCACCGGTGGGGAAACGCTTTTGCGGCATATACTTTCTTGAACCTCTCCATGTGGGTACTCGGATGGATGTCATTAGCTGCTGTCGTGACCGATCCTCATCTAAAGATAACTGTTATTAATATCAAAAATATACACCTTCATTTAGGTTTATCATTGTAAATTTAAACTCCTACGTAGTAGTTGTAATCGTATTAAAAATCCCAACCGCTGCTCGTTTCCGACTCATCGCTTTCACCATTGCTGTCACTTTCTTCGCTTTCAGCACCTGCTTGCTGTCGAGATTGTGCAGGTCCGGGCAGTGCTCTATAATTGTGAAGTGTCGGGCGAACTGGCGTCGTTGTGATGAACTTGTGGCTTAACGGAGTAGTGATAGATGGAAAGTTGGAAACATCTAAACATAACGATAAACAGCGTTTTAGATAGCTTTCTCACCGCGCAAAGCGCTATTCGACTGGTCTTGACGGATCGTCTCCAGGTTACTTGTACGACTAAAAGGAAAAATTAGATCAAGTATTCTTTTTTCATTTTGTGTCGTTATGAACTTGCAAAGTTTGCTTAGATTTTAGCGTCAAGAGGTGGGTAGGTTTAAAAAATACTGAAGCTCTCAAAAAAAAGCAAGCTATACTTACACAAAACAGCTTTTGAAAAGTTTAAAGACGTTTTTGCATCTTTTAAGTATAATATTGCGTTAATTAAAAAATAAAATGAATCTACCTGTATTCTTCTGTCATCTTGATTGTGAGTGAAGCGTTTGGACCAGTCCCGGTGGCGTTCATTTCGCGCGTTATTCGCACCCGGTCATCGATAGGCGGCATCGTCGTCACGTCTACTCACCTAAAGAAAAAAAACTGTTGTATACTTATAAAAACATAACGTTTACGACTAGAAAACAAGATAGGACAAGATCAAGCGTTAGGGTCAGCATTTAAACGTTTCTCCGTGGTGGGCAAAAGAGGGGCATCTTTTAGCGCGCCTAAACACCGGGAAAAAATGAGCCAAGCGCTCCAAAAACGGGAAATCGCTAGCAGAATAAGTTAAAAACTAAATTAAAAGGTCATTTTAATAAGATTTCGTGCAGAATATTATCGATTGGGGTAAAAGTAACAGGATAACATTTGATAATTGAGCAAAACGCAATCTGGCTTGCCAATGGGTAGATTTTAAACGCAATTGTTTGACAGGAATGTTGAGTCTAGATAAAACGCATTAATGGGACCTAGTCAAAATAGCACCGCCAAAGCAGCGCGATTCAAAATAGTTTTTTTTCCGATAAAAAGCTTTAGTTTTGGTACTATCCTAGTTGGGGGGCCACTTTTTTCAAAAATTCAATTTTTCTGCGGTAACTTTTTATGCTGATCACGAATTTCACGTTTTTAATCTAGGTTTAATTATGAAATATCGACTTTTTGGCACTTTAAAAATAACTCAAAATACCGTAAAAACTAAAAGAACGACCCTCTCTATTAGAACGGCTCACTCCAATAGAACCCTCTGACCCCCCGAAATATTTTTAAGACATTTTTGACGAGAATGGATCGAATTGGGCATAAATATGCCAAAACTATCATCGGCGGTAAAATTGGTTGGACAGTTTTCAAAAAATTTGAAAAAGAATTTCTTGAAAAAAATCGAAAGGGGGGACCACAAGAATTTTTTCAGGAGAATCTCTAGAGAGGCTCTAGGTAAGAAAATATTTTCACTCTAAAACGTGGTCTACATACGTTTTAAGCTAATGGCTATCGTTTAAAACAGTTTTCAAGCAAAAACAAATTTTTGATTCATGTGGGGGATCCATACCTATTTTTTTGCCCGACCGATTTTGAGGGATTGAAAAATAGAACGGCTGGCCGTTCTATTAGGGTTTTTACGGTAAGCGTTTTTTGTATTTAAATGCAAATTTCTCGAGCGTAAATGCAAATACTTCACACTTTTTTAGTATTTCTTATTTTGTGGCGTTGGGTTGGGTTGGGGTTTTGCTTTCGGGGGTTGACGCCGCCACTCACATGGGTAAATTTGCTGGCCTGAAGCCTAGAAATGGTAGAATGGTTGGTTTTTGTACTGCTGCTACTACATGAATTCATGTAGATAGTCGGTGTATTAGTCGTTGCTACGTGTCTTGATGTCGTGCTTGTTTTTGATCATTTTCTTGAACCTGTACCACATTGATTCAACGTTTTGCGTGTGGGCGCCGTTGATTGGGTTAACGAAATCTAGTTGATGGTTGAGAGTCAAGTGAGTATACGCTGGAGGCAGAAGCGAAACACTGGCATAAGCTCTCCAGAAGTCAGAGTGGGCTATGAAGCCCGGACGAACAAACGATTGAATTATTGGCAAGAGTGTCGCATCATCTCTGCGCTGCACAAGCTGCACAAGCACGCGCACGAAGGCAGATCCTCTTTCGATTTCTCCAAACATCCACATCCTGTGATGACCTGTGGTGCGTCCTTTGTTGTATTTATGCTTTGAAATGCAAATTTCGTCGATTTCGACGATAACATTTGGACCACCGATGGTCTGAAATGGTCGATGCATCTGAAAATGCTTTTGTTGATTTGGTTCAAATCAGATAAAAACTAATTTTTAGGGGCTGCTTATAAGGGTTCCAAGGTTTATTGGCGGGACTTAACAAGTTAAACTTTTATCTTGAAGTTGATGGGCAGGACTTAATCAATTTGCCCAACCCAACGGCCCTCTTTAGGGGCATGAAATGAGAAATACCAAAAAAGTGTGAAATATTTGCATTTAAATGCAAAAAAAGCACTTCTTTTGAGTTATTTTTAAAGTGCCAAAAAGTCGATATTTCATAATTAAGCCTAGGTTAAAAACGCGAAATTCGTGATCATCCTAAAAAGTTGACCCAGAAAAACGAAATTTTCGAAAAAAAGTGCCCCCCCAACTAGGATAGTACCTTAGTTTTTTTTGGGGCTTTTTAAGTCAAATAGTAGATGAAACAGTTTATTCAAATGAAAAAATACTGAATTCAATTGGCATTGAGAAAAGGCAATAGGTGTGGGCGAGCTCCGAGGACACGTCGTTTAATAATTTTCTTCGTCGGAACTCCAGCAAATCGATCGTTTTTGGCACCACAGTGTATCTCACGTATCGCAAAATATAAACAAGAACCAATAACCAATAACCAATAAGTTAAACAAAACAATAAATAACTCTTGTGTTTCTTTCAATGGCAGGCAGGTGTGGCGTGCTCGTTGGTGACAGAAAGGACTCCAGTCGCTTCATCTTTATCAGATATCGACATCCCTAAATGAAAAAAGATGTTGAGAAATAAAAATTTTACAGAAAAGAATAATAACTAGCTTAATTTATCTTATTACATTTATTTTAGATCAATGAAACCAAGTTATTACCTTAAGCCAGTAGAATTTCTTTACAAACGACATTGTTTGAAAAGTACCTACAGTGGTCCACAAGAGTATTGTCCCATTGCCATCCAAAAGTTTCTTTCGTACGAAAATCTTGCAAAAAACGATATTCACAAAAAGTGTAGGGTTTTTTGCTTATCCATAATACTCTACTTTGCATACTTTAGGTAACAAAGTGCTAAAAAGGTTCTTACCCCAACAAATTATGTTTCCGCCGTTGAGTTTCACGGTAGGTCGAATGTACTTGAGTGCTTATCGCTTTCCAGTCGGTCACCGAATAAAATGGTTTCCATCCGCGTGAAATAAATTGATTTTTGTCTCATCGGCCAATGACACTTTCGCCCAATCACGTGTCGTCCAACTTCGGCAGGTTCGTCAAGTCAAGGCGCTGCTTCCGGTGCTTAGAATTTATCAGAGGTTTACGGGCAGCCCTTTCTGCATATAATCCAGCTTGATTTAATCGTCGCCTGATCGTTTCCAACCATGTTAAATTGATCCCTCATCATTTGGCTTCCATCGATTGGTGTTTTGTTAGGATCGTTTTTCACCATTTGGATCACGGCTCGACCTTCTTTTGTGGTTGTGATTGGTCGTCGGCCACTCTTGAGGCCTCGATGAAGGTTTCGATCGACTTTTGATTGAGAAAGAATGTGGCGCATCGTCCTTATTGAGCAATTGAAAAGGTTGGCCACATCCTTTTCCCGCATCCCATTTTCCCGGGCCTCGGAGCTTCTTCGGAGTGTTGAGGTTTTTCTTGCCAGCCATCTAAATAATGAAATAAAATACATTTATGGTTCATAGAACGCGAAAATAAAAAGAATAATCAAGGAAGTGAATCACTTTATTTCTAGGTAAAAACCCACTGTAAGTGTCTTTCTTGAATTTCATCAAAGATACGGCTAAGTTCTCTCGAGAGCTAAAGAGACGGGAGGAAAAAAGTTGAAGTGAGGGATGTTGAAAAGAGAAGACACTGCCATCTCTCACCCGAAAAAACCCTTACCAACTCTTTTTCAGTTCAGCACCCTCAAGGGGCAATGTGAATAGATTGAAGCTTTCAATTCAAATTTTGACAATGCGAATTAAATAAGATTTTGAATACTAAGCTTTCTTGTTAAGCTAAGCTACTAATAATATTTGAAACTTTCTAAGCTTTGAAGCTTTGAAATAGATGTATACTCCTGATTAGAGCCTTAAAGATAGAGCTACCGTAGTTGTTCTGTATGGAATTACGGTAGCAGTTTTGACTTTAGGCATTTGGTACAGTTTTCAGCAGATAGTTTTTTGCTTATTGACCACAGTGTTCCCATAATTGAATAGCTTAAAATTTCAAGGTAAACTGCAAGATATTTAACCAAAAATTGGGAACATAGCGTTGGACAACTCTGTTATCTGCTCCACCTGGCTTCTAAACGGCACTCACTTTAGAAAACTATCCTAATCCAATATGGTGACTTTTAGGAAATGTAGTCCAATCCTACACACTTCAAGGAAGCTCTTTAGCTACGGTAGAAGAACTTGATTCATCCAGTATAAGCTATTTTTCTCAATTCTAGACCCCCAGCTGGTCAGGTTAGAGAATCGATCCATAAATCTTCGTGGTGAGATCTTTGGGTGGATCTAAATATTTGCGCTGCCATCCGAAATCATCAAGGGGTGGCAAGAGCGGAAGAGCAGGCAGGCTATAATTTGGGATGGCAATCCGTGCTCCTCACCTTTTCTCCGAGCACATCCAGTTCCGTATACCCCCACTCGGGAAAAGAATCCCCCACCTCCTTCCAGGTACTCCCAGTTTTTCTACCGCTCGAATCCTTTCCTTTTTTGTCTTCCTTCTGTTTCCTCTATTCCACCCAAATCCCATTAGACTATTAAATTATTAGATAATTGTAAAAATATTTGGTTTGGTATTTGCTATGTCATATTATAGTATGCCGGGATAAAAGTATTCTGTCTAATTTTGGATTTGATACTTGTTATCTACTATGACAAGTTTTGAAAGTATTGATCTTTCCAATATCGTATTACGATATGTTGAATTAAAAATATTCAAATGATCAGACCAGGGCTGTTTCAAAAAGCCAAGGGTCAAGCCAAGCCAAAGCCAAGCTAAAGCCAAGCCAAAGTCAAGCTAGAGTCAAGCCAAAGCCAAAGCCAAGTCAAGCCAGCGCTATTTCAAACAGCCAAGGGTTAAGCCAAGTCAAAGTCAAGCCAAAGCTAAGCTAGAGCCAAGCCAAAGCCAAAGCCAATAGCTTTCAATTGACCTTAGCCTAGAATTTCAACCTTACTGTTAGATTTTGCCTGAAACCTTGACTTTGGCTTTGCTTGGCCTTGAATTTACGGGAAATAATTGGCTTGGCTTTGGCTTTACCTTGGCCTTGCCTTGACTTGGCTCGACCTAGAAAATCGGCCCTAGGAACAGCCCGGAACAAGACTGCTCT